TGGAATAAAATAAAAAAAGTACTAAAATTAATACGTTGATACTGAACGTTTTAAACATCGTCAAGGGTTAAAACACGTTTCCAGTGGGTTTCTGGGGTTGCTGATTTCGAATCTGATGTCAGATTTTCAAAATTCAAAATGGCGGTTAAGAGTTTCAAACAAATCCAATCATTCTTTCTAAGTTGGTCGCCATTTTAGATCCACCATTTTGAATTTTGAAAATCTGACATCAGATTCGTAATCAGCAACCCCAGAAACCCACTGGAAACGTGTTTTAACCCTTGACGATGTTTAAAACGTTCAGTATCAACATATTAATTTTAGTACTTTTTTTAATTTGATCGCCATATTGGCTCCGCCATTTTGAATTTTAAAAAATTGACTTCAGATTTGTAATCGGCGACCCCAAAAACTCTCTAGTGCCAGGTTTCAAACGAACCCAATCAATAAAATCAATAAAATCAATCAATAATAAAAAAATTGAACGCCATTTTGGATCCGCCATTTTGAATTTCGAAAAAATGACTTCAGGTTCCTAATTAGCAACCCCCGAAACCCCCTGGTAACAAGTTCCAACCCATAACAATGAGTAAATCGTTCAGTATCAACGTTTTTATTTGACTACTGTCTTTTCTAGACCCATTCTAATTGCCCAAGACAGGTGTGTAATTAAGGGAAAGTTCTCCAATTAAACANGTTCCTAATTAGCAACCCCCGAAACCCCCTGGTAACAAGTTCCAACCCATAACAATGAGTAAATCGTTCAGTATCAACGTTTTTATTTGACTACTGTCTTTTCTAGACCCATTCTAATTGCCCAAGACAGGTGTGTAATTAAGGGAAAGTTCTCCAATTAAACAAGAGTAATTATATGTAAAAACCACATTTTTAGCTGCATTTTAACATGTCAAGAAAATAAAAAAATTTATAACATCAGCGTTTTTATAAAAAACAGACCAGCGCGACCTCTAAGAAAACTTTTCTTTCAAAATAAAAAAATACGTGTCTCTTTTTTTATCACAAGTAACAATATTCTGATGTAGCGTTTATGAATTTCCAAAAAGAGTGTTTTTATGAACCACTCTAATACATACATACATATATGCTACCACCATAATTCATATATTTGTGCATATTCCTATACTGAGGGAAAAAAATATTAAAATCAAATAGAATCGTAATTGATCTTACTATAAACGTCAACGAAAGTACTGTATATTGGTAAAAATTCAATTCACTTACGCGCATATTAAAATGATCGCGTTCGTACTGAAAAAGCATCCGTGAAGTGAATAATCAGACAAAAACTAAAAAAAAAATTTAATTTGCATGTTGCTGCCTGCAATGGAATTCGAACCCGACCATCTCCGGATATCAACAACTTGTGGCAAGCATCTTTGCACACTCAGCTACACCCAGACATATACATTTGCTTTCAAATGTTGAATATCCGTCAACACTACAGCACGCGATTTGTACCCAACAAGCAAAATAAACTTAAAGAAAGTTATTATCAAGTTTTCAATTATAAACATTCAGCTTACAAAACGTTGATTTTTTGTTTATAAAACGCTTGAAAGTAAGCGTAATATAATCGAAAAGGAACATTGGTTATAAGCGTAGAAATATAAACTTGTAATAAATGTTCAAAAGAAAGCTTTTTATAAGCGTAAAAGTGTAAACTTATAATAAAGGTTCAAAAAAAGTTGTTTATAAGCGTATGAATATAAACTTACTAAAAATGTTCAAAAGAAAGCTTTTTATAAACATTTTTATAACCCTTTATTTAAAGATATTTCATTAAAAACTCATACATAGATTGCTTAACATCTAGAAACTAACTCATCATTTGAAGACTCGAATGCTCCACCGATTAGCGCAGCGGGTCCTGGATTGGATTTTTTTTTACCGCATAGGTTTTATTTAATTTTTTCTTTTAATAATATATGTTAAAAAACGTAAACACGTCACTTACGATTGAAAAATGTTATATTTACTACTTCATGTCGTTGGCATTTGCATTTCATTTATAAGTTTAAGTTATTTATAAACATTCGCTCTCAAAACTTATTAAAGGTTTATTTGAAAAAAACTTTTAATAAGCTTAATATTAAAAATGCTCATTTAACGCTTATTATAGCAAACTTGCTTTAAGTTATTTTTAAAAACATTTACTGAAATGCCTTTTGGGTACGGATAAACATATATGTACTATGTATGTATGTGTGTGTTGTCACCGCCCTCAGAGCGGCGCTCTGCAATGTNAATAAGCTTAATATTAAAAATGCTCATTTAACGCTTATTATAGCAAACTTGCTTTAAGTTATTTTTAAAAACATTTACTGAAATGCCTTTTGGGTACGGATAAACATATATGTACTATGTATGTATGTGTGTGTTGTCACCGCCCTCAGAGCGGCGCTCTGCAATGTTTGGGGTGCGTATGTACACTTACATATACATACTCAGATGTGAACAGTCAAATACGTGCGTAATAAATTTTGTATGAAAATATGATTTTTAAATACGAACATTTTTAAACGATAATCAAATATAAAGTATTCATTTTTACTATGCATTATTTCCCTCAGTGTACATTCCTTCCAACCGAAAAGCATTTGCTTACATATGCATATGTACATATGTATGTATGCTGTATGCATAACAAAATGCATACCCAAACCAAACGCGAAAAATATCTCCCATACAACGTCGTTGAAAATTTTTCGCGATAAGTTTATCGCGATAATTTGTTGTGAGTGATCGCGAATGGATTATTTGCATCGTTTTTCTCATTTATGAGAGGCCGAAATCGGCAAGGCTTGGACTTCTCATATTCTTTGCTTTTTTCGATCGCGAATGAAAAGCGACGGAAATTTTTTGTCGATCGCTTTACGAATGTGAGAGATGATAAATTTGTTTGCATTTTTCACTCGCGATAAAAGAATGCAAAAATTGATTCGGAATATTATCGATCGCGAACGTGAAAGAATGTGAGTGAGAATTTCCGAACCCTGCTTTCAACTTTGTTTTGACCATGCGCACCTAAATTTTTGTATACATTTCGTATCTTTTACTATCTAACTGATCTCTATATAAATGACTTCCCCCGTTTCATGCTCTTTCTTAGTGATTACAACAAACACACACATTGTTACTGTTATTACATTTTATCGCTTTTAACTTAGTTCTAAGTATTGCGAATTCGTATATAAAGCTATCCTCCTAATTATATTGTAACCTAAACGTACCTATTTTTAATAAAATTAGCTGGGGAAAGACTCTATAAAAAAATTGGATACTTATGGGTTAAAATATGGCCATCAATGTGTTAAGTAAAATTTGTAAATGGGTTAAATTATTCATAATTTGCATAATAATAAAATCAAATTAACTTAACATACCATAAATTAACTTAACTAAACATAACATTACAAAAAACTGGGTCACCAATGGGTTAATGCATGATCAGTAATGGGTTAAGACGTCAAATGTTTACTCTTAAAAAGTTGTTCAAGCGAGTCTAATGGAAAGTAAATGATTTCAGAATTTTGAGCACCCGCTTATATGGGGCGGCCCCAATCTGCGCTGGTAAGTTATAAGTTAGCTACAAACTAGCCCCGTTTCCTGCATGGTATGTACATGTATGCATATGTACGAACAAACATTTCCTTACGCTACGAGATTCGCTACGATGATTCGCGTGAGGTATAAGTACGGTGGCCATCCATCCTGGATTATACGGGACAGGAAAAATGATGTTACAACTGAATATTTATGTGCTGTTTTCACAAAAATCGAATCGAAAAATATATGCCAAATAAAGATGCTGCTTCAGGGCTAATAAATCTAGGAACATTGAAAAAGGTTTACAACTGAATATTTATGTGCTGCTTTCACAAAAAATCGAATCGAAAAATATATGCCAAATAAAGATGCTGCTTCAGGGCTAATAAATCTAGGAACATTGAAAAAGGTTTACAACTGAATATTTATGTGCTGCTTTCACAAAAAATCGAATCGAAAAATATATGCCAAATAAAGATGCTGCTTCAGGGCTAATAAATCTAGGAACATTGAAAAAGGTTTTAAAGTCCTCTTGTTTTTGTGGAAAAAAGGCAAAATTATTTGTTGTCCCTTATTCGGCTGCCATAAATATGGTCACCGTAGGTAAAAGTGCTTGATGGTATAATAGTAACGAGTAAAGTAACATAGGGATATCCCAATTTTCGTTACTTTTATAGCCCTACTTGTGAACGACTATTTTCTAAAGCTTGCTATACAGTTCAATGCGAGCGTGAGCGTGAACGTTCACAATGGCAAAGAATTCCATTTGTATTCTTATGGACGCTCACACACATCTATCAAAACTTGTCGTTCACATGCGAATGCTTTGCGTACGTACACAGTTCAGTGTGAAGCTTGAAAAAAGGCATATTATGCATTTTATAGCTGAAATACAATGCCGGCGAACGGCGAACTCACCACAGCGAAATTCGCGCTGTCAAAATTAGAACACCCGCAACCATATGAAATTGAACACAGCCAAAGCGAAATGCAAAGTTCGCTTGGCGGCGTTTCATGGCGATAGATTTATTTCTATCGCCCTGCTGGGCGATGACAGCTGTGCGTGCCAAAGGTGGCCGTATTTGTCTTTTGCTTTCAAAGTTTTAAAAGAAAACAACCTAAACACGATTTTTTTTTGTTGTTTGAAAAATATAGTTGTGGGTTCGTTAAATCTGGCTTGAAACAAATTATTTATAATAATCTTTATTTGTTTTACATTTATATTTGTTATCATTTCCTCATTTCTAAATATGGTTTAGTTTTTTCTAAATATGGTCACCCAAATTATAAAGGCGACCAAATGGGATCAGCTGTTTTCGCTACCGCTCTAATTCTGTTTAAGTAGGCGAAATAGCTGGGCGAACGGTGAACGACAGCATCGCCCAATTCGGCGAAGTTTGCCGTTCGCCGGTATTGTATTTCAAGCATTAAATTAGTTTTTATTTTAAATTAAAAGATATTTTAATTCTCTATCTTTTGATGTATCAACTATTGCAACAAGTTAAGCAATAACGAAGGTATTGGTCAAAATAAAAAGCTCACGCTCACGCTCGCATCATATAGCAGGCTTAAGGCAGGATCTATAATTTCACAAAAAAAAATCGCCTTTCTCCACTGTATGTTTTTATGTTGTACTGTAAAAGTAGAATCGAGTATTTTCTAGCGATACTTTGAATAGCATTGAGTATTCTCTTCACCACTTGTAATGAGTACAGGCATCGACCCAGCGAGGCACTGCTGCATGGGATCCGTCCACAATATGCATACAAATAATTGATTAAAACACCGCTGACTAATTTAAAATTTTAATCAACATTGTACGCAGTACATCAGAGATGTGGCTTTTTACTGATTTCGTGTTACTTATGTACATGTATCCTAAATATGTTGAGTGGCTTTAAGTATCAAAAACTTATAGTAAAAACTCGCTACGCAACTTGAGAATGGAAATCACTGCATCTTTTAGGCGCATCATTATTACATAGTTGCATCCCAAGCTAATAAAAGCGAGGTAAAAAAGCGGCTCGTTGCTGATCCCTAATATGGACATACAGACCTACAACAAGTAGCCGCTGCAAAATTAATTTTAAATTTTTCCGAAAATCGGTCATATTTATAACAACTCACCTGGGTATGTCCATAAGCTGGAGGATCACCGCTCATCGCTTGAATATTGAGCAAAATCTGTGCTCTAGTTTCGTGATCTAAATGGTTTGCGATGCGTATATTGCCAGTAATAGTATCGATGCTGAAGTAACTTTCCGGGTCCCCAGAGTATATTGAATAGCGAACACCATTGCGATTGACTGTGAGAAAATAAGAAAATGTAAATGTGTTGTGTAATATGCATACAAAATATAAAAGTAGGCAGTGCATATAAGTAGTTTTGCTAGTAGCAAGAGACTATCATAAGCTAACGATTCCATGCATTATCGATCAATAAGCAATTCGCTAGCGAGAGGTATGTGACGCCCATTTTGAAAATTTCATATGCTAGCGATTTTACCCATTACTGGTCGTTAGGCAGTAGGGATGAAACGATACCGTTCAGGTATCGATACCTTTACCTTACCTTGGAAGTAGTATCGAAGGAAAGTATCGATACACGAAAAATATCGGATCTAAAGTATCGATACTTTCTCGTATCGGTACTTTCGGCAACGAAAGCATTCCGAGGGAACTATATTACATTTAATTTTTTAAGTAATAAATTAATCTTCCTTGACGAATCCTAAAGTCCGAATAATAAAAGTTAATAATGTAAGAACTGAAAATAAATAAAACAACATAACATTACAAAACTATATGTATAATGATGAAATGGTATTTATCAGAGATAATATGTTGAACAAGTTTACAAGAAGTTAATCTCGTTTAACCTTAGAACCGCGAGTTGGGCTCTCAGTGCCAATATTCATGTTTGTTATTGAATTTAGGGGGTTTGGGAAGTCCAATTTGATTTTTTATCGTAGGCAGATATATTGTACCTTGGTATATAAGTTGACAAAATTCCAGGTGTATATCTCTTATTGTAAAAAAGTTAATTGTTTTTAAAAAGTTTGTTACACGCTGTAAAGAAAGGTAAAGACAAAAATATCTAAAATTTTACTTTTGAAAGTGATTTTAAATATCTAATTAAATGAAAAGTTAACTTGACCTCAAGATCGACCTTCAACAGAAAAGTCTAAAAAAAAATAGTTTAAATAGATTTTTTGGTTTTGCGACCATGGATTCCCTGATGCAAAAACAGCAAAAAGATTTGTTAAAAAAGTTCACTGCATACCGGTTTCAGGAAAAAAACTAACATATGCAATACTTGAAGTCGCTGGCGTTTAAACAGCCATAAAGAACTGGGCGATTCATATTAGTGGAGGAAAAAATACGAAAGAAAATTCGCGTTGGTATCGGGTTTCGATACGAGTATTTTTTTTCTGATACCTACTCAGTACTTGGTTCAAAAGAATCGATAGCAAAATTACTTGGTATCGAACAAAAAGTGTCGAGTATGTACCTACTTGTATTTACTCGTATCGTTTCATTCCTACTAGGCAGTAACAGCGTTGCCGAATTGAGGATTTCGTCGTCATTTTGAAGTTTTTTAGTTCAGTTTTTTCACTTATTACAAGCAATGCAAATATACCGGCAGAAACACTCTTCACATACATATGTATATAAGTAAATGGAACATCCATTTTATGCTGAGCACTAACAGCGAACAAATCAGACGGAGATTTTTGAGTAATGCAGAAACGCAAATCTGGCAAGCCTGATTCTCTCACTGCTCTCAATTTCCTTAAGGCCGTAACTTAAGAATCTAAATCCTACAGGCACTTAAGTTTCTTACGGTAAGTTAAGTTTCAACTAACCGCCAACCAGAGCTGGGCGATAAGGATTACATGGGTAATCGATTGCGTCTAGGATTAAGATTATTTTAATCGCAATTTCAAAAATTATTAAATTAGGATTTCGGTAATCGTTCATCGAAGGCATCTTAGATTACGATTGCGGTAATCGTAATTTAGACTTTTTTAAAATTACAATTACTGTAATCGTAATCTAAGTTCGTTCGATGAATGATTACAATAACTTCAATTTTACAATTTTTCTAATTAGAATTTTTTGGGCAATGTTAAACGAAGTAATTCTATAAATATGCGAAATATAAATGCGCGCTTAAGGATAATATGAGGGTAATATGTATTTATCTAAATCCTTATAACAGAAAGTACAGGATTACAATTAAAGTAATCGTTCCTCGAACGAACTTGGATTACGATTACAGTAATCGTAGTTTTAACTTTTTTAAAATTACGATTACTGTAATCGTTATCTGAGTTCGTTCGATGAAGGATTACTGTAATCGTAATCTTGTTTTTTTATCTTGTTGGGATTACTGCAATCCTAATCGTTTAGTAATCGTAATCTTTATCGCCCAGCTCTGCCGCCAACCCAGTTTCTCATATAACAGGCTGGCCAAAATATTAAGTTAAATTAAGTTACCAAAATTAAGTCTAGTCTAACTGAGCTTTAACGTCGCACAAATCAGATCGCACTTGAGCTTCGGCGAGTAAAAATGAGCGACGAAGCGGATGATGCGGTTGCGTGTTTGGTTATTTATGCGCAAAAAAACAAAAGAAACAAGTAAATAAGTATAAGTTCGGGCGAAACCGAACTTTATATACCCGGCGCAGGTATAAAATATCGCCGTTTCAACTTTCTATGAACTACCTTTGCATGATAAGTAGGGGTGTTTACCCGATTTCAAACGTTTTCGATAATATGCAGAGTTAGACTTAATGGTATAATTGAACCTAGTTAGGTACAAATCGATTGAATGGTTACCGAGCTACATCTTTGTAGGTATAAAGTAGGCGGTGCTACGCCCAATTCCTAAAAGTCTATAGCAGTCTTAATTATTGTTAGGAGATTGTTGTAACTATTAACTTGAAGTAAATAGGCGTCCCCAGTTGTTGAAATATCGGAGTTTTCGTATTTCTGAAATTTACCGTTATGCGGGAAGCGGGTGTAATTTTAGTCCGATTTGAATAATTTTCAACGAATTCCTTTTTCGTACCAAGGTTATTAAGTGCACTGAGTTTGGTGAAAATTGATAAATCAGTTACCGAGATACACATTTGTGATCATAAGCGGGCGGCGCCACACTTATTATACAAAAATTTATAATATTCTAATTTTCTGCTAAGTGGTTGTTGCAATCATCGATTCTAAGTAAATTAGCTCCAGTAGTTACTGATTTATAGCAGTTTTCGTGTTTCTGTAAATTATCCGTATATGGCAGGTGGACGTGGTTATTGCTTAATTTAAAAGATTTTTAACATTTCTTAGCTAGACCCTACCCAAGCCTCGTACCAAGTTTGGTAAGGATTGGTGAAGCGGCTACTGAGATACAGCATTTCATCATAAGTGAGCGGGGTCACGCCCGTTTTCCAAAATTTTCATAACAATATTATTTTTTACCATAATTCTACTCCACATACTAATTTTCAACAATTTGCATTTAATATTTACTGAAATATCGCAGGTTTTGCATTTTTCGAAAATACCGTTATATGGGAAGTGGGCGTGGTTACAGTCCGATTTCACCAATACCAACCTACCTTCGATAAAGGGAAACCTGTATACCAAATTTCGTTGAGTTATCGTGTGCACGGACAGACCGCCGGACGGACGGACAGACAGTCATGTCTTAATCGACTTCTCTTTTCATTCTGATCATTTATGTATACATTTGTCCATATCTATTTCGATTTGTTTTGGCTGTTACAAACAACCGTTATGCGCACAAAGTTAATATACCCTTGTGCACAAGTGCGCTCGGGTGTAAAAAGCATTAAACGAAGAAAGGGTACGAGTGAATTGTTTATAAATAGAAAAAATATATATATTATTATTCTGTAGATGACAAGAGAGGAGCAAGAGCATAGTTTGTCCCCCGTTTGCCCATTTTAGGTAGAATTTATTTGTCCGCTTTATGCATACGAATCGTCTGGATATGAAGAGCCTTGAAAATAAGCGAAAACAAGTATATATATACATACATTCGTACATATGTATATATGTAACTTTACGGCGGAATTTATTGGTCGCCGAAAAAAATATTATTTTTGGTCGAAAGACCTTTATTGGTTTAATCAATAATTACAACTCAACTTAAATGCTAATTTTACTTCTTAATATAACCCAATTCTACCTGTGTCAGCATTAATTACTTGTTGACTTGATTTCGCGCATGCCGGATGTTGTTCCCAATTTAATTGTATTTGCTTACGGCGCGTCTGAACCGTTTCCTATTTATTAAACTATGTTCCCATTGGCGTAATTTAGAGGTCAATCTTAATTTGCGCATAAATTAAGTACAATCTAAGTAATTTCGCCTTGTAAAGTCTCTCAGTAAATTAAGTTGAAAGTACGTAGTTTATCTTAAACCAAGAACCAAATCACGAACAAATCAGTGTCGGCTCTAATTTTATCGATAATAATCGAAAAAAGTATTGTCCCATAACTGATATGTCATTGTGTTTGGACGTTTTTGTTTTTAATAATCGCGCGTGGTAGTTTGTAAAATATTTCCAGAAGCTTTCTCTTTTGATCACTCACCTAAAATCTAAAAAATTACCACAAACAACTCAGAATATAAAAATATACGCAATTACTCACATTCGCGATCTCTTTTGGTTAAATAAACAATAACACAGGGTTGCTACAAAGCTGTCAAGACAAATACAGAATCGCGTGTATGAACGCACTTAATTTAGTGAGGTATTTTAAACGAAACTAAGTATTTTATGTTGGTAATATGAACATAGTTTTAGTTATAATTCTGCATATTGGCAGAATTATCGATTGTCAATATGTTTACATTAATTTGCTTATTAACTTTACTGGTGTTAACTCCTCCGCCGCTAAAACAAACGTCCCCGTTTGTTCAAATTAATATCAGAGTGGCTGACTTCCAAAACGTCAATTGCATTGCATACGTACAAAGTTTAATGTTCCATAACGCCGAACTACAATTGGTTGACAATGTACACTTTTCCAAAACCCTCCGAAAAGTTATCGAAACGCATTGCTAGCGCAATCAGCGCATCAGAAACAAAGTTGATGCTTCGTTTGTTATTGGTTACCATTGGTGTTTTGAAAATGCAAAATTCCGAAATGGTGATTATTGTTTTATTAAATATTCCAAATATGCAATGTATATGGTTGCAATGTTTCGCTACTCTGCATATGCAAAGAGTTTAAATACCGCAGTAGAACAGTATCCAAACATTGTATTGGTACGTTT